GATACCCCCTCCTCGCACCCTAACTCCCTCCCAGACCCCGCACCGCACCCTGAGCCCCAGGAGGAGAATGGAGAAAAAAGAATGAAAAACGGGGGCGGGGAGATAAGAGAGAATGCTCCCCCCATGGGGGGGGCCCAAAAATGAAGCTGAGCACATGGCCCCACTAACTCTAAATCCGCCACTGGTGGGAGGGGGAGGAGCGGGGAAGCGCCGCGTCTCTGCTCCTCCCCCTCGCTCCCCGAAAGTCTTACGTGCTGCCAAACAGCTGTTTGGTGGCAGGGAAGTGCTGGGAGGAAGGGGGAGGAGCGGGGACGTGGCATGCTCTGGGGAGGAGGTGGAGTGGGGATGGGAAGAGACAGGCCTGGAGTGGAGCGGGGACGGGAAGAGGCAGGCCTGGAGCATCTCCCGGCAAGTCAGCACCTGTTCTTCTGGGGGGAAGCTGCTGCTGCACAAGGTGCTTCCTAGCGTCCTTGCTTGCCTCATTGCCTGCTGTGCCTGTATTTTTCAGGAACAGAACTACAACGTTAAGTGAGGAGTTACTGTACAAGAAAAGGTCCCCAAAATCAGGACATCTCATCATTTTAGTAGGACTAGAGAGATGGGTTTGTGGCTAAGGGAGCATTCAGTCTTCCTGGGTTCTAATCCTTGCTCCACTAAGAACACTGTAGGTGAGCTTGGCCAAGTTGCTGCATCTGTCTAGTCTCAGTTAGGATACTCCTGGTCCCCTGGGTTGTTTATTTTATAAACTCTTACGGGCAGGGAGTGTCTCTCGCTGTGTCTGGACAGCGCCTGGCACAACGGGGCCCCGGTCTGTGCCTAGGTAAAGCAGTGCCCCGTGATTATAACTTCGTAATAACAATGTTCTATTGAAGGTAACATGTTCACTTCAAAGCGAAAAACATCCGACTGTAAAATTCCCTGTTTACAAACTGTTACTTGAAATAGATTTTCATGTGTCATTTTTTGTCACTGCAACTAACAACTCTGACTTATTTGTGTCCAGTAAATAATCAGTTTTCACGTCTGCCTTTCCCCTGGAAGACCCTGATCACAGCTGGTTTCTGGGCAGGGCCGGGCATAACACGGCCCCGATCCCAGCTGGGGCGAGGCCTGTCTCTCGCTGTGTATGAGCAGCACCTGGCACAATAGGGCCCTTGTCATAAACATAGAGCTAAGGGGAGCATAAAATCCCTCCTTTACCTCTAAGGGGTTAAGAAGCTCAAGTAACCTGGTTGGCACCTGACCAGAAGGACCAATGGGGAAGGAAGATATTTTCAAATGTGAGGGGGAGGGGAAGGTTTTGTTTGTGCACTTTGTGTGTGCTCCCTCCGGACGGAGAGGGGTCAGGGCAGGAAAA